AAAACTGCCAAGCCCCAACTGAGTGATCCGACAAGATGAAAGTCGCCAAGATATTGCAACCACATACAGTGAACTTGGTTACGCGATTTGTCCGGCATCAGTAACCCTCCTATCATCTGCAGTATGCATACTCGTGTATACTGTTTAACTTCATCGTCAGACGCGTCCTCGCTCAACTCCCGGAAATTGGCATATAACCAATTTAACGGTATCCGTCCACCGTTAAAATTTTTCGGGACACGTCCTAGACTAACCCTACACAAAGTAGTCCAAGAACCGGAAGCTATCACTGATATCACACCTCCATCCACCGGAAGCCCCAGATGCATAGAAATATCCTCAAGCGTGATCGTGCACTCTCCACACAGAAGATGGAATGTGTAGGTCTCCGGCCTCCACCGCTCTACTAAGACAGAAATAAGGTCTGGTTCTATCTTACAATGACCCTGATATCTACCTAGGTGATCAAATCCAGCCTATATTAAATACGGCATTACACGAGTAGGTATAACTAACTTAAGATTCCTAATAAAAGGATATAATATACGGTCTCTCTCCTAAAATATAAATAATTGCACAAATTAATTTTTAAACTAATAATCATGCATTAAATTAATTAATTAATTAAATTAAAACATTAAAATGTTACCGTATCAGCAAAGTGTCGAGATATATGATTTCCATCCAACCAAAGTAGACCACCTTCCATTTTATATCTGCAAAAAAAAATTAATTAAATAAAATATTAAACAATTAAAATAATTAAATAAATTACTAAAAAATACTAAATATAATAAAATATACCTTAATAAGAGAATATAAGAGTATTTGAGAGAAGTTGAGAGGATTTGGTGTGATGAAAGTAATTGAGAATGGGGGTATTTATAGGGAGGGATGGGTGTGAACAGGCGGAGGTAGGTTGGTAATTAAGGGTATAGCGCGGGACAGGGGCTGCGCCTTTCTGACGCGTGTCAGAATCACAGGTAAGGCGCGACCCCTTACTGCAAAAGGTGTTAGATCGAAAAATATACTCTGACCGGTGCCTGATCAGGAATATTAAATTAAAAAGATGATTTTTCGGAAAAAACGCCAACAATACATATATATCTTTATTTTTTTTAATTCTGAGATAAGAAAATTCAATTATTTTTATTCTTTATAAAATTAAATTATATTTTAATTTATGTAAATTAAAAATATTTTTATTTAATTCAATTATTATTTACTTTGAGATTAAGTATTTAATTTTTTTTTGTTAAAAATTAAGTAATTTTAAAAAGATTTTGTTAATAAAAGTATAATAGCAAATAAAAATACAACATTATTAATGAGAGTCTTTGCAACAAAAAAAAATATTTTATATATTTTTTCTTGTTTTTTAATTTTTAAAAACTATACATTTATACCACGTTTTCCTCTGTCTTTTATGACATGTTTTCTATGTCTTTTGGCATAACTGATCAAGATGGTGCTCATTGTTATGATGTTGAATATTATATGCTTTGGATCTTCGAATTGGATTTAGATACATGATTTGTGATCGTAGATAGTTTTCTCACATCACTTGATTCTGATTTGCGATTTTTCGATTATCTTTCAATAACTTGATTCCCTCTTGTGGTTTATTTGTCGATACAATCAGATTTGATCGTATCTACCTTTTATTCGAGTCTATTTGATTAGGTTTTTAACCTTTTCCTCATATAGTTCTTGTGATAGTTTCTTGTGTTCATAGTTATAAGAAAATGTTCTTATTATGTGTTTTAGTTTACGATTACGATTGTAAACTTTCATTGTAATTTGAATATTTTTCTAATTTTAATGAAACAAGTGGCTTCTATCTTATAAGAAAACTTGTATGCTAGTGTAAGTCATAGATCCGATAACTCTTTAAGAAATACATTTAAAATTTGTAATATCCAAACCATCGATTTGATTAAAGAAGTAATTTTATTAAATTAATAAAAATACATAAAAATTAATTATTGAATGTATCATTATATCAATTTTATTAATTGTCACGTTAATTCTTTACCAAATATTAAATATAAACGACTTAATTGATATTATTAAAATAACTAAGTACTTTGATTGACAAAATTAAAATATGAATAGTCATATTAAAATCACCCATAATTAAATGAGCATAGGTATAATTTACCCGTAAAAATTATAACTAGCTATTTTGAGAATGACACCTTTTCTTGAAAAGGTAAAACTATGAAAAATTAATTATTGTTCTACTTTAAATTTTATTATATGTGAAATATATTTAGGTTTATTTCAATTTAAGTCCGAAGACATTCTTTATAAGTGGTTGTTATAATTCTGTTTTTTTAAATGATATAAAATAAAATTTTAATAAATTTTAAAGAATGAAATGAAAACTTGAATTGAATTCTGGCCAAAAGATTATTACTTTGGAAAACCAAACAACTTGCGAAACCACCCTATAGTACTTCCCTACAGGCATATACTAAAACAGCAAATATTGTTCTCTGTAAAGGTGAAAACGTAGGAGTTGTTGGAGGATCGAATAAAAATCCATGTCAATTGAAACTTTTGATATTAAAACATGTCATTCCACCCACTTTCACCCATAGTTTAGTATACATATAAGAAAACAACATTTGCACTCTGATCTATTCACGAAATTATCTAGCCATTTTATTAGAAGCGTCCATTATGTAAGTGGTATAAAAATGAGCAGAATGACTTCTTTCACAATTGGGAATCATCACTACAAGTCATTCAACACATTATATTTATTGCTTATAGCAAGAACCTGGCTCTAAGGGGGCAGCTTGGCCGCTTCCGGCTAAGGGAGCAGCAGCAACTCCTCTTTTATTCAGTAAACACCTGAAGTGTGCCAAGCTTCCAGTTACGTCTCTTGGATTCTTAGCCAGCTTGTCATAAGGTGTCCATAGTCGCTCTGCAATTCAGATCGAGACGAGAAGGAGAAAGAAGAATGTGGTCGCTAATGGGATGAAAACTCAAAATCAAGAAAATACTTCAGTTTTTAATTTAGGTCACCATATCATTTAGATCAACGTAGGTTCATGCTTATGCTTCTGTCTATATTTAGCTTAATATCAGCAGCACTTAAGTTAAAGCCAGATCAAAATGGCATATCAAAGATTTTGCTGCTCGGGTTATCTTTCATACTAAGAGCCAAGGATGACAGTTACTGTTAAATATTAGGCATCAATTAACAATTCCTTCTAAACTGGAAGCTAATAATGCCATCAGTGAGGATGAAACACAGTTAGATATTCATGCAAACCTTAATGTTATCTGGTAAACTTCATAACCTGTTTCTGGACCAACAAAAATAGCATGTTGAAGGTGTTTCATGATTTTACTTTCTATAACGAGACACTCATGATACTTTGCATCATATATGGCATAACATGCATGTAATCTAATATTAATATACTATATTTCTGCCCTTTCTAAGATAAAACACAGAAATGCACAAAATCAATGCACTTTGAATTGTAAGAATTATAAAAAAAATGACGGTTTTTATCCCATTAAACAATTGTTTCAAGAAGGAAAATTGGACATGATTTCTAAAAGACCCTTCGAGCTTAGAAACAAGCAGCCAACACAGTACTTAAAATTGAAAGTATAAAAATGATCAGCACCTTATTGTCTTCATACACCACTGTAGCTGGGATTTCTTTGTTCATGATTTTGTCGAATCTGAAATAAGAAAGAAAAATTGGAAGAGGAAGATGGGAAGGAGAATTAGAAGGGGAAAAGTAAGGTTGGACTGACATGGTAGGAGAATCAGAGAGAGCAGCGGCGAGCGCTGTTTCTTTCTCAAAAGCCACGAGTGAAAATCCCGGAGTCAAATGAGAACTCAATACTAACAGTCGGCTCTTCTTTATATCATCACTCATTTATTAATACAATCTCTAACTCTAGTCTCTTCCATTTTTGGGCATATGCCGTTCTCTTTTTTTTCCCTCGCGCTTTCTCCTCATCATTCTTGCATTTTTAGGTTAACTGCATATTTAACCCCCAAAGTTACTCATTCTCTCGTTTTGATATTGATTAGAGAACGTTGGTAGGTGCTTTACTAAAAAAAAAAGAGAGAGAACATGGCATACAATAAAGCTTAAAAGACCTAAAACAAAATAATTTAACCTATTAAAAATAAAATTAAAAATAAAACCTTTTTCTTCGTCGTAGATAAGCTTAATAAAAAAATTCCCTTTAAATTACTTTGATATCTTTTTATTGATTAAAAGATTATTATATATCAAGACTTTTTTTTATGAAAAATGATGAAGTGGTTTTCAGTCATGGAAAGAGTTAAGCTTTTCGTGATTATTAAATGCATCTGCTATCGAAAGTTGTTAGTTCCAGCACTGTATTAGGAGTGCCATCCATCTAGGATCGATCTGTGTAATTTTATAGTCATTTCATCGTTATCATATAAGTCATTCCACTTACCCCTCTCACTCTGAACCAAAATCAACACACAACAAAGTTTTGAGTTAATATCTTTAATAATCAACCTCTTTTTTAGTACTCTTCGCTTGTGTATGTAATTTAGTGAAAATTAATCTTGAGTTATTTTTTAATATCATCTTCTTTGAGGAGGGGACAAGCAATGGTGAAGGAATAGAGTGTGGGGGAGAATATTAAATGTTTCAAGAGTGAATTAGTAGGTAATGAGTCTGTCTAGATATACTACAAGATTGATTTATAAGTTTTTTAGCATAAAAAATACGCCTCGTCTATAAAAGGTGTGCGCTTTCACTTTATGTCTTAGGCCTAGACTTCAAGAACCCTTTGTATCTCAGTACTTCTTACGCCTTTTAAAATTAAGATATTTGCAACATTCGGCTTGATAAAAGCATGCCTTTTTACTGTCCTTTAACTAGTTTCCTTTAAGACTTGGTCATTTGGTTAATGCCTTCTTTCCAAACTTCTTAAGTTGAGAGAAGAAAGCGTTTATAAGTGAACAAAAATAATAAAATAAATGCAAGAAATAGAAAATGTTTTGCGTCTGCATTGCAACACAACAAGGGTCTGTTCAAGGGAAATTGACCCTCTACAAATTATGTACAGTGCGAAAGGGGGAGAAAATAACAAGGCAAATAAATTAAAGTTTAAAGGACGGCTGTCTGCCAATCACTTTGTTTTACGATCCATATGTACCCTAATTAACTATATGTAACACACGTACAAATGCAAGGTGTAGTTATATTCCTACACTACGACTCATTTATAAGAGCAAATATCAATTTAATGTACAATAATTTGTTCATATTAGTTAGTAGGATACTCTTTCGTACTACCTTTCAGACATCGTTCAGAAATTGCAAGAAGTTCCCAATTTTAGTTTGTTGGAGTCCTCAAATGCTTGAGGCAAGAGCTTCTCAAAACACTTCAGGAACATCTCCCATTCAGCTTCACTCATATCCCCCAAATACGTACCTCCATTTTCATGGTTATTCTTTTGCACTACGAAACTCATGCTGTCATTGTAGCTATAAGTGTTTCCTGCAGAGTATTCTGTATTAAATCTGCTGTTGTAATTGTCATTTAACGAAGCCACACCACGCAATGCTGGCATCGATCTTGTGGTCAAAAGTTCCAAAGGTTTTGGTGACTTAGCCAAATTCAAAGGGCGTCGGAAGAGCTTGGGAAGATCGGCGACTTCATTGAAGATGTCTTCGATTTCGTTGTCGAATAGAAAAATTCCAGTGTCAACCTCAAATTTATCATAGCTGTTGTCTATATCATCCTCAACTTCCGAAGTTTTAATGAATACATTTGTCTTAGCTTTTGTGCAAATTGCCTCTATCATACTTGGTCTTTCTTCACCACCCCGAATCTCCCGAGTCACCATTGCACCTATGTCCGCAAGACAAAGGCCAGCACTAGCAGCTTGCTTCAAGAAAACGGTGCAAAGGATCATGACTCGTATGGAGGACTCCCTCAACGATGGAAGCTCCGTCCGCAAAAGTTCTGCATCTTTATTTGGATTGAGATTCAGAATGTACTTGGTCTCTGAATCCGAAAAAGGAACCAATGCTTGAGGCCAATGCAACCATTCAAAGTATGGATCATCGAGGAACTCTGGTAGGCAAAGACCGTGATCTATGGGCACAAGCTCAGCTGCCCCGGCAGCATAATTTTTACGTTGGTCCTTTTTCTTGACAAGAATATTTCCTGCATGCCGGTCTAGATTCAGGATTCTTAAGTCAAATATCCCAATTCTATGAACTGAAGCCACTGAGAAACCAGCAGGCCCCAACTCTCCTGCATCAAAGTCATGAGAGACGAAATTTTGTATGGAGGCAATCTTATAAGGTGTGGCAGAGATAGCGGTTGCTTCATTGACATGAAATGCAACATGAGAGATTTTCACAAGAGCTGTTGCAGGAACACCAGCAAACTCATCATGGTCGAGGAGATAAGCTGCCAACTCACGAATGCCAGTTTCATCTACACGTATTGTACGTTGTGTACCTGGCTGTCCCAACATCGATCCCGCACAACCATTCAGGTTATTGGAACCCAAGGGTTCTTCATCAATGGGCTTTACAACAGCTATAGTTTCACCACTACGATTATGTAAGAAGTAGGCACCACCGAGCCCGTTGGAGGCAGGTATAGGTACTTCCCCAGAGGCCATGGCCATGGCCACCTCAACAACAAGGGCACTGATCCTCGGGGCTCTTTGGCCCCTTATAATCTCAACCCTGGGATGATGGGTGTCAAACTCTTCCTTCACATTAGTAGCAAAGGAAAGGCAAGGCGTGGAGAAACTACGATGGAGAAACTTCAAAGAGTGAGCAAGGTCTTTGTGGCCATGTTCAAGAATGTTGTACTCAAGTTGGGTGAAGGATTGGAGTTTGCATCTTTGAGACCTACTGAACGGTTTGAATCCATGATGTCGATCAACGACTACCGCCATTCTGAAGAAACTGGTACACGGCAGTTAATCATACCAAGGTCAGAGCTAGCTATTCCCAGAAAGGATTATTAGTCTTTCCTATGAGACCGGTCATCATGATCTGCAAATTCAAAGTTTTTTTTGTTAGTATATAAACATGAATTTTGATATCGGAAGTGAAATATCAAAATGGAATTTAGACTTGATTAGATTATATTGCATCCGACCAACAAGGGGCGGCTTCATTTGGACTAGCTGCCACAACTGTTGCAACTTCATTTTTAACCATAGTTCGCTTTGTTCTAAAATTCATTCAAAACAATTTCCACAAACGTTTATAATTAACCCATTCTTAAACCTTAAAACTGTAGGCATAAACTAAAGTGTCCTTCGGTCTAGACATATTGGATCATAACAACAAAAAAAAATATGATTATTATATATATACACATGTTACATAGAAGAAAAAATATTTTATTCATATTTTTAAATTTCATAGATAAGATTAAAAAATTCTTAATCCGGTTTTTTTAATGTAACCAATGTATAGAAGACGAACACTAAAAAGAATTTATAACAATACACGCTCCCTAATCAAATTCATGTGGTGTATGATTCATTTGCATACTACCGCAGAAACCAGATTCGCATTTATATTCATATTTCTTGTTTACCGTAATGACTTAAAAACAATGATCCAGTAAAATCAAACTTGAAATTGAGAGTAAAAAAAGGCGGCAAGTCAGGAATCGAAACATAGAATCAGACCTGTAAATCAGCCCCTCGCTCCTCCACTCATAAATCGCCGCAACGCTCTGTACAAATTTAGAGAGAGAAAAAGGATCACAGATAATCCCTCCGTAAAAAGAGTCGAAAACTTTTGGATTAAAATCATTTAATTCAATGAAATGAACAAAAAAGGAGAGAAAGAGAGACCCCGAACACTGATTAAGGCATTCAGGGAAGAATAGCAGCAGGAGCGGGAGAGAACCTAACAGTCACCGGGAAATAGTATTTCCTGAAGACCTCACTGCCACTCCCCTCTTTGTTTGTTTCTTGATTTTTTCCTTCTTGATCTGATGCGTCCTGTGTGTATATATACATATAAGTTACAACAATTGTTTGACCATTGCTTTGTTTTCTTAACTTGATTTTCCCTCCTATTTTGTTGCCAACTTCCTCCATTATGAGTTGCCTTCAGGTTATTTTTAATGCATTGGGCTTAAGATCCGGTCTTAATTTCCCCAATATTATTATTATTATTATTATTATTATTATTATTATTATATGAAGATTTCCCCAATATTATTATAACTGTTGTTTGGATCACAAACTAATTATTGTGATGTTATAATAAATATTAAAAATGTGGTAAATTTAATAATTATTTTATAACGATTCAAAATTTTAATAACAATTTTATAATAGTTTAATAAATTTAATGATTGTTTTATATGGCTAAAATAATAATTTGAACATATTTCAATGACCTTTAGTGTTTTTATCCTTATTTTTAGGAGAAACTACATATTTAGTCATCTAATTATCATACCTAAAATTATATTTTGATTTCCTTTTGATCACCTATCGTTAAAAAACTAACAGTGATGTTAATGTATCAATATAAGGTAATGTCACATCATCATTAAAAAAATAAAAAATATCACGTCAATATTTTTTTTAATGATGGATGATTAAAACATAACATTATGTATGCTTTTTGATAAAAAAAAATATATAATTGAATTACCAAAACATAACTAAAGTGATACTTAAATGACTAAATAATTTACCTTATTTTTTAATTCATGATGTTCCATGGTCACAACTTGTGAATGCATGTATTTAATTAAATGTTGTATAAGGGTACGTTTGTTTTATTGTAATTGAAATTCTTAAAAAATATTTTCATTATTTTTTGGTGTTTGATTGTGGAAAACAAATAGTTATTGTAATTCATTTTTCTGATCAACTAATTTACTTTGCATTTCCTAGAAAAAGAAAAAAAATCACTTCAAAGCATAAATGATCAAAATAATATTATTTTATGTAATATTAATATACTATTTTAGTACTATTTTAATAAAAATATTAATTTTTAGAATATATTTTTGTAATAATTTTAATAATATAATTTTCATTTCCATAATAATAAATATAATTTTTACCTAAAAATAATATATTTAATAATATTACATTCTTATATTCTTATTTTAATAATGTATAATAAATTATATTATTTATTGTAGAAATAATATTTAATAATATTATTAACATAAATAATATTAAATGTCATTCTAATATTTTAAAAATAATAATATTAATTTTTTAATAAATAGTATTATTTATTATATTCCCTATTTAGAATAAATAACTTTTTAAAAATTTACTAATTAGTAGAAAATGATTTACACAAAATCACCAAAATATCGTAAAATAATTTTTATAAATTTTTCTTTAAGAAATGTAATTCATTTTACATCGATTATTTTTTGGAATCTATTTTTCATAAAACAAACCAACTCTAAATGTGTTTTAAATTGCCTGTGTGATGAAATGATGGTTACTGCATGTTGGTATGATTAACTGTTATTCTAATTGTATCCTCGTTGGATTGGATTTTGGAAAGGAATTGTTTTACAGAGTGCTTTAAAAGTATGTTAAAGTCAGTTATAAACCCGCTTCTAGTGATTGAATGATTTTGCAGACTGTTTGATTTATCGTTTTCTATTTTCTTCTATGCTCGATGGCACAGATTGTTAACTCCCCTACTTTTATGGGTGTGCAAAATTATCCGACCTAGTTGATTCAACCCGTTGACCCGTCGATCTGGACCTAAAAAATATGGTAAATTTCTAAAAAAATTGTCCGGCAGGATCTGGTATCCGACCCGACATTTCCCGAGTTAGGCCCGGTCACAAAATTAAAGTTTTCTAGGTACCCGGTTACCCGAGTATCGGGTTAGTTTTTATATATAATATAATGGATTAATTATATTATGAATTATTAGATTTTGTATTTCGAACTTTTAAATTTTATGTTCGGATGTTGGAGTATGTAATTCGAAGTTTCAAACATTTAAATTTGTGTATATATATTTTTTAAATTAATAATTTGAAAATGGAAAAAACTGGATACCCGACAACATCCAAGTCGGGACTCGGGCCGAGAAATCACTAATCAGGATGTTGCAGGTACTCGGATTTGCACACCCCTGCTCATAAGGGCTTACTTAGGAATTAATGGAATTAGTTGTGAATCTAAAAATATTTTTTAAGATGAGCATAATATGCATTATTAATATAAAAACATTTATATATAATAAAATAAATAATAACTTAAAATAATGTTTAAATTTCATGGTAGACACTTGTACATCTGCATTAAGACGATCATTTTTAATTAAAGAGATAAATCTTTTAAAAATTACGAGCATTTTCATATTGAAGAGATAAATAATTACCAACATCTTCATTCACAATTTTGTATTTTAATTTTTCTTCTTCTATTTTTGTTGTTGTTGATGTTTATATGGGGCTTTGCTCTTGTTTATGCTTTGATGGAATAAGGTTTTGTTGCTAAAAAAAAACCGAAAATTAGTTTATAAGGTGTTTACTCCTTCGGTTATTTCTATGAGATGTTTCTATTTAACTTTGTTAAATTGTTATTGACATATTTTGTTTATATTAAATTAAATTATTTGTTTTTGGAGGATCTATTTTTTAACGATTATTATATAGCGAGCGAAATAATGAATTTTATTCGTAATAAGAATTAAACTCATAACTTAAAGCAGATAATATATGTGAACCGAAAGTTTTTAACCATATATTATAGAGATTATTGATTGAAAGAATTTATTTTTATCTTAGATATAAATAAAAAATAAAAAGAAAATGATTTAATTGAAGTTCTCATCTAATTAATAACCAAAAGATAAAACACGAGATTCATCTTTTTAGTGTTTGGATTGCATAAGAATTCTTCATAGTTTCGATTTATATTAGATTTGGGTTGCTAAAATTTATCTCATGAATTTTGATTAAATTAATATTTATCTTATGTTAATAATTCAAAATATATTTAAATTTTTTTATTGAATTTCACTTGATATATTCTTTCGAGAGTTTCACTTGATTTAAATTTCATCCTAGCACCCGAATGAATGAAATCTTTTATAATATTCTCTTTGAATTTTTAAAATTATCTTATGACAATAATTATAAATAAAAAATTGATCAAGACAAATTATATTCTTAATTTCTCTAGATTACCGTTCACTATAAATATTAGTCTAAGTTGAATTGAATTATTTATGATGTACTTTTAAGTGAAATTATTTTACATTTATTTGTTTATTTTTAAAAAGTAATTTTTTAGTGAATGAGATATTTGTATTTATTACTACTTCATAAGCGTTGTAATAAAATATTAAGACGTTATAATAATAACAATTTAAAAGTATTAATACCAATACATATTCAGATCTAGATAATCCTTAATATTATACTATTAATAATAATAATTAAATTAAGATTTACTTTATAAATTTTTACAGATATTATGAACGTAAAAAATGTTGATTAAAAAAATATGTATTTGGTAAGTTGAATATCGGATCTTTAGATATATTAAACAACACGCATGTAGTGTGCATGATCCAAAATGTACGACATCTCAGATACATAAGATTCTCCTTAATCATTTCAACCCCCCTCTAATGGTTGATAAGACCCGATTAGCTAAACACGAACAACAAAAGTAACTAGAAAAGACGGAAAAAGGTTACCAACGCCCACGCGGCAAAGCCCAAACGTAGAAGGAAAGTCCGGGGACATCTCCAGAAAGAAGACCAAAAGCTCTTGTTTTCCCAATTCTACCCACGACTTGGTCCGAAGTCTTGGTATTTTCTCGTTCATTCACGTTATAAAACTTTCTTAATTGGTCCGTCTCCCCAAAACCAAAACTCATGGCGGAACTGCCGATAGAACCCCATCTGAGCTTCGAATTGGAATCGCTGGCCATTCCCCCGATGGATCCCTTGTATCTCTCATCAGATCTAGGGTTTCCTCTGGACGACAATGATGATTTCCAGCTTACCTTCGACGAATTCGACGAATTGTACTTTCCCGACGTGATCGTACCCGATTCGTCCGGAGCAACACCCGAATCTTATGTGGGAGGGTACCTGAATTCGTCCTCCCCGGAATTTGACAGTTTATGCGGCCAGGCCGGTAATTCTCACTCTCCTATCTCCCCTTTAGGATCCGGAAATTGCGGTTCGGCCGTTTGCGTGGACGCGAATGTTACCTCGACGGATTCCGGAACCGACGTTGATCAGAAGATTGATGTTAAAGAATTCGGTAAAAGGCGAGCGTCTAAAAGGAAGATAGACCAGGAAGAGACTGATTCCGTCAAGTGTATAAAATCATCGCTGCTGACTGTGAACAATTCTAAATCCAGTTCTGATAATAAGTCAAATGCTCTGAGCGAAGAGGACGAGAAAAGGAGAGCGAGGCTTATGAGGAACAGAGATAGTGCGCAGCTGTCAAGGCAGCGGAAGAAGCATTACGTGGAAGAGCTGGAGGATAAGGTTAGGACAATGCATTCCACGATTGCTGATTTGAATAATAAGATAGCTTATTTTTTGGCTGAGAATTCTACCTTGAGACAGCAATTAAGTACCGGTGGTGGAGGTGCTGGAATGTGCCCTCCACAGCCAATGCCTATGCCAATGTATCCACCAACGGCATACCCTTGGATGCCATGTGCTCCGCCGTATATGATGAAGCCTCAAGGGTCTCAGGTGCCACTAGTACCTATCCCTAGGCTGAAACCACAGAAGCAATCGAAACCGGCTTCCAAAGCTAAAAAGAATGAGAGCAAAACTAAGAAGGTTGCTAGTGTTAGTTTACTGGGAATGTTGTTTTTCATATTATTGTTCAGTGGTTTGGTCCCAATTGTGAATATAAGATATGATAATACGCCTGTTGGATCTGGTTTCGTTGGAGATGGGTTTTACAAGGTGCATGGTGGGACAGTTTTGAGAGTTGATAGCCATTTAAATGGGTCTAATCATGCTAGGGATGCAGCAATTTCATATGGGAATTTTGAGGTTGGCAATAGAGTTATTCGTAGAGGCTCCGAGTCCAGTGTTGAGAAAAAAGAGACTGGAGTGCAAAATGCCAGTGAGCCTCTCACTGCTTCCCTCTATGTACCGAGAAACGATAAGCTTGTGAAAATTGATGGCAACCTGATAATTCATTCCGTTTTGGCCAGTGAGAAAACTATGGCCTCTCATAAGGCTTCTGAAAGAAAGAATAAAGAGACAGGTTTGGCCATCCTAAAGAATTTCCCTCAGGCACTTGCCATTCCTGATGAGCATGGAGGAAAGCATTCACATGAATATAGAAACCATGCAGAAAGACACATGGCTCTTTCTTCAGGTTCTGCCGATGCTTTGAAGGACCATTTCAAGTCAACTGCTGCTGATGGGAAGATGCAGCAGTGGTTCCGGGAAGGAGTGGCAGGTAATTATCTCGCCCTTACATTTTCTTAATATGTAAATTGGGTGCTTTTCTGGATGTCAATGCTCTAGAACTGGATTTAACTTGTCGGTTTTCGGGATTTCAGGTTAAGGTTAGGTAGGTTTACTGCAAGCACTAGTATGGATTGGTATCGTTATATAGTTGTGGCACAAAATTTGTCTATACTATCTTTTTCTGTGAATTTGACAGTTTGGGGCTGCTGAGTAGATTCTTTTGAATTCAAACATTCTTTTAGCCTTAACTATTTACTATATCTGATATATAATTTAGTATTTAAATCATAGAAAGTAATGTTTAATTTTGTTTTCAATTGAACCTTTCGATTCATTTCGTTTGATTGATGATTACAACTTAGAAGTCTCGCTGATTTGACCTTCGGTCTGGTTTAGTGCTCATTGGTTCTCACAGCATGGATTTGAAAGTTAGTTTACCATGTCATTTTAAGGGTGTCATTATTCTTTTAGCTTTCTTGCCTTAAACTTGAAGTAAAATAAATTGCACAAAGATGCAATGGATGGAGTATGTTATTGGGCTACAACTCATGATTGTGTAAGCTGTAAGGTTCATCAGAATATTGTATCTAGTCCACACTTAATGAGACACTCTGAATATTATTCTTCATCATGGTTAAAATATTGCAGGATTATAACAAAATCAATCGTAGGCATAATACCCACAACTCTATTCTTGGCGCATGCTTCATATACTAATTTGATTGTTTCTTGCCCTTCTTTATTGTAGGACCAATGTTGAGTTCAGGCATGTGCACAGAAGTGTTCCAGTTTGACATCTCTGCCCCAGGAGCCATTGTTCCAGCTTCCTCGGTTACCAAGGAATCTGCCAAACGTCAGAATGCTACCCAGCTTAACAAGGGAAGAAACAGAAGGATTCTCCATGCTCATCCTGTTCCTCTCGCTAGTTCTGATCTGAACATAACCCAACAGCATGTTGGAAGAAATTCAGGAAAGCAAGATTTTCAAGGTAACAGAACTAATTCTTCTGTGGTAGTTTCTGTGCTTATTGATCCCAGAGAGGCTGGTGATGGGGATATGGATGACATGATTGTATCGAAATCTCTTTCTCGGATCTTTGTTGTTGTTCTTTTAGATAGTGTCAAGTATGTTACGTATTCTTGCGGACTTCCAAGATCTGGTCCGCATCTTGTGACCGCTTAAGGGATAAACGAATGGTTGCGACTTTGGCTTCTAGTTTATATATTTATGTATATACTCACAATAACATAGTAACTATTAGGTGTCACGGCTAGTTGAAACTTCTATAACATTTTAACCTCTCTATGTACTTTGGATTTGCCTTCTAAAATAACCTTGGCTTTTTGGCTTTACTGCACACGGTGCTAATATGGTAATATTTTCTGTGCTTTTTATATCATGTTTGTAGCTGAACTTTTCTATCATGTACCGGCAAGTGATGCTTTTAGTTGAAGCTAAAGGCTTTGTTTGGTAGGTAGAAGGAATTATGAAAGGTTGAAAAACAAGAAACATAAATAATTATCTCATTAGTCAGAGTCGCGAATCATCTTGCATACCCTTATGGAGGCATCATGGTTATCTCATTACTCTCGATATATAAATGTTTGTAGTGTTGTGTAGTCAATTATCAAACTTAGAATAATAATAATAAATAATAAAATTAAACAATAATAGAGGTTATAACATGCAACGAAGCCGTCTAATATTTTTGATGAAACAGATTCACAGCGGAAGAAACACAAAAGACTCCTTTTTATGTATTGAACATTCGGACCGACTAAAGTTATTCGAAGTGTTTAATTTTTTAATAATTTATAAATAACCTTTTTACAATTTATAATTTAACATTCTATAATTTGTGATATTTTTAAAATTTTATGTAATTTTAATAGTATTTTTAAATTCTAAATAATTTCTTACTTTTTTTCTTAAAAGAATTAATAAATCTTAAAAAAGATAAAAAATTTAGTATACTCTGAAACTTTCTAAAAGAATCAATTAAGTTTATTTGTCACATTATCATCTATAATTGATTATTATAGTAATATCGTATATTGTCATGTCAGTAAAGTGAACTATCATACCAATACTTTAAATTATCACATCAATATCTTAATAATTATCATCAATTTTTATTAGGTAAAAATCCACATTAATATTTCTTATTTGAATGAAAATAAATTCATAGACTCCATTACTCTTTTTAAATAAAAGGAAATGACTTTAAAAAGGAACTTAAAAGTCATTGGACAAATTATTTTTCTAAAAAGTTGATAAACAAATTATTTTTCCCACCACACAACTACCGTTGATACTTTTCTTCAATTTCTGACCCTGAATCACTCCACCTCCAAATGAGTCGTATATTATCGAACCTAACACAATCCTTCTGAATCCCACAACTCGTGACTGCAATTCCTGTAAGAGGACGTCGATACGAAGGGTCATGATTTTCGATTTATCGATTGCTTCCATTTGGAGGGTATGCGTCGGTGCACAACTTGGAATCAAACTGGTCGCATCACATCCATGTTGAGTTACTTATTGCACCATTTTTGTTGGACTCCAGCCGAGGGAGTCAAGGTTGAGGAAATTGACATGCTTGAAAAATCCTGGACTGATTACTTATACGCGGACTCCACTGCAGGCTATTACTACTCCTAGACTGCCTTCTCATATTACACTTCGAATATCTAAATTTTCTCCTTAATTCCTCTTTCTTCTTGCGATTGTCCTTTACATTTTGAACTCTTTTTACAAGCTTTGTTGTATTATCAATTATGTCTTATGTGATTTGTGATCCACCTCGTGTCAGAGATCCAAATGAAAAAAATGTAAAAATATAATGAATTATACTGTGAATTTTCTTTCGGCAGACTTCTTTTATTACTTGTACACAGTTTAATGGAAGTTAACACATTTTTCTTCTTAGTTGTATAAATGTTTTCTTTTATTTAAATCTAATTGGATATCTAACAACTTTACCCTTTTAATTATCCCCTTTTTATCTGAAAAAACTACTATAAATCTTTTATCTTACATTATGTTTGAATTAAAAGTAGTAAAAGAACAGAGAATAAAAGAAAAGAAAGTAAACAATTATATATTATCCTATTTTGATAAAACTATGACATTTTAGTAAATTACTTATAAAAAAGTTACAAAAAATATAAACTAAGTGATTGAAATTATTTAGAACAGATACTACCATTTGTAATCATCTTAAATTAATAAAAAATTACAAAAAGAGTTTAAAAAGAAAAAAAAACTCAATTTCTCTTGTTTTCTCTCTCATAGGGGAAAATATGACCTGACATATTTCATCGTTATTATTATTAAGTTATTAACTACATTTGTATGAGTTTGATCAAAATTTTAAAATTGAAATTTTAACTTTTAAAATTATAAGATTATGTATATTAAATTAAATCTATAAATTTTAAAAGTTGACCTAGTATTTTATGTTAAACGTTAAAACAATAGGATCTAATTAAAAAAGTGACGGCAGAAGCTCTCCCCGTGCAAACAGCAGCAAGAAAAGACAAACAGAGAAGTGTCTGACAATTAAGGTGTTGCCACACAGATTTGGGAAATTTCCATAGAAGCCTGTTGCCGGGAAACTTCCCAAATCACATCCCTCTTATTGGGGGTTGCCCGCTGGAAAATTAGTGGACGGAAAATGGGGTTAGACATAGTGGAGCCAAACACTTGCGTTAGAGGTTGCTGCTCCAGCAACTCCATCCCTCTTCACCTTCCTCCTTCTTCCTTCACTCTTCTTTCCCCTATTGCCAGGGGTAACTTCCTCTTCTCTTGTCTTCCTTGCCCTTCCTTTCTACCCAGAATTTGCTCATCCGTTGTGTTTTTGGGTGATAGGGGCTGAAAGCGTTGTTTACGAAGCAATTTTGGATGGAAAGAGAGTTGCTGCAAGGAAGCCAACCCTGTCTACCTCGGAGGAGTTGGATAAATTTCACAAGGAATTGCAGCTCCTTTGCCAGCTAGACCATCCTAGCGTTGCTACCCTCATTGCCGCGCATGCCAAGCCTCCCAATTATATGTTCTTCTTCGAATTCTATGAACAAACCAATCTGGCTCACAAGTTACATGTGCAAGAATGGATTCCCGGTCTTGATCAGGCGCTCTCGATCATGCTCCAATTAGGTATATCTTCATTCTCCATTATTAAAAAAAACTTGATAATAACGCTTGCTGCTTCTACTGTTGAACTTTGAATTCAATTATCAATTCAGCTGAGTCCTGATCATAAGCTTGGACATATTAAGATTATGTTTGCATAGCTTGTACAGTAGTGAATAGCTTTAGGTGCTAGGATGTGTCATTGAAATGGGCGGTAAATGAAAGTTTGTGTTGTTTCATGCTTTTAGTTTTACCTTAAACTTTGGTTTTTCTGTGTAGTTTTTGTGGGGTGTTCAGGGGCCTATTAAAAGTATTTTTGTCAGTTAATAGGGAGAAATGGCTATTTGGCTTTCGATCTGAAACAATGCTAGAAATATAAATGTTTGGCTTAAGAAAACATAAATTAAATTTTTTAGGTGGTGACAGTTTCTTCAAACAATCTCATAATAACAGTTGATGCTTTAAGTTTTATCTTGCATATCCCCCTTTTTTTGCCCTTAATTGGGCCAAAATTTACTAAAATTTCCTTTTTAATGATGTTACATCTTGTGCTCTTTCTGTTGTTTTCTTATTCCAGGGAAGGCTTTGCAATATCTGCATAACAAAGGAATCATACATAGAGATGTGAAGCCAGCAAATGTTCTTGTAATTTTCTTTTTATAATCTTATGATCTCTTTAGTTGTCCTTATTATCTGGTTGGTGATAGATACTTTTAGAAAAATGGTTTTAATTGAGTGGCTTTTGAGCTTAAAGTTATATTACACCGCTAATGCATATGCAGCTTGACAGAAACTTTTCTGCACACCTAGCTGACTTTGGTTTGGCGGAGTATAAGAAGGATCTCAGAAGAGTCTCTATTGAGAATTGGAGATCATCAGGTAAGCCAACAGGTGGTTTTCACAAAAAAAATATGGTTGGAACTCTTATTTACATGGCCCCTGAGATATTGACGAAGGAGATACATACTGAAAAATCAGATGTCTACAGCTTTGGAGTGTCCATCAAGTAAGAATAAGGGTTCTTGAAGCTTCTGTTAACAATGTATTGTTTATATAGTCTATGAATAAGGATTCTTGCTATGCTAACATACAATATAGATTGCACAGTTACCTAATTTCATAATATGCTCATAGGCTAGTTAGCTGTTAATCTAAAATGCTAAGATTTTCTTTTTATGGTGCAATGGAAGTATCTAGAATATTTCAGATTGGGTTAAAAAACATTTTGGTCTTTTGCATTGTGGTAAAGATTTATTTCAGTACTAATCTCTTAATGTTTCTATTGAAGTGCCAGAATTGTTAGAATTTAATGTTGCATTGTAGTAAACATTTTAGTGTCTTTGCTAGGTTTTTGTGTGAAAATTTAAATCTCGTGAAATCAATGTTGAATATGTTGCTTGGAATGGGGGGTGAGTTGAATAGAGAAATGTGTTTAACACATAATGTCCATTTTTCTAAGTTTCTGTCATATATTTAGGTGTACCTTGATACCCATGTCCAGTGGATATGTTTTCAACATAGGTACTCCATGGGAACTGAAGAGTCGGATCAAGATAGTGAAAACATATCCTAATCACTGCCCTTAGAAATTGAATCTATTTTTTTTTTATCATTTTTCTTTCATCTCTACTTTTATGGTATGCACATTGTCTCTATCTGTGTGTTTGTTCTGTTTTTACTGTCATTGCCTCCAGTAGGCACTGGACACATAAATGTCTCATATGCAGAGACATCAGACATCCCTGCTTCCCAAAGCCCTAAAACAATAGCATATTAGGTGAATCACTGGATCTGGTTTTGCCTGGGTGCTAGCATTAGCTCTTACAGTAACTGTTAAGTGATACCACCTTGAGCTAGATTTCTATGCTCTAGCATGGTTAATCATGTTTTGCTTATGCATTATGGAGTAATGTTTCCCTGTTTGTCATTTGAATTCAATAGTCGATAAATTGCAGTGAAACATTAGGCTATGGTTAATCTAGTTCTTTTGCAGCTCTGTAGGGCTATAACCATGAAACTTGATTTCCATTTAATTGCAGTGAACTGCTAACCGGCATTGTCCCATACACTGATATCCGTGCTGAAGCTCAGGTCAGTCTTTTCTTGACTATGCTTAGCTTTTTTTTTTGATAAGTGATATTGTTCAGTACCAGACTAAGTTGCATTTGCATATGCTTATCAAGAAAAAGTTCAATCTCCAAGACATAGCTTATTATTTGATGC